GACAGATTTGTCGTGGTTTCCTCAGTCCCTCCAGGCAAATTGCTGGAATAGTACCTCAGGCCAGGCTCGGATCTTTCTAGATCCCTTCCAATTCATCCTTTATTCACCATCGTACAATTTGACACACGTCAAGTCGATTAAAGCGCCGTTAATGACCCACAGAAAATGATGGAACAGATGAAGTTCCAGCTAAACTATGGTTTCATTTGTGGTAAAATTTGAGGTACGCATTTGATACGAAAATCCAGTAGAAATTCCAGCGGGAAAGTTGTTAAAATTACGCCAATAACATCTAACTATAATAACTTGAAATTGTCCTGGAAATACATCTATATTTATATTAACATATTAAACTCCATAAAATATCGGTGTGCATCTTGCGAGACTTCTGCATAAAGAAATTTATTTTCATGCCTCTGTGGTCTAATGGTCGGAATTCCTGGCTACAGATCCAGAGATCCCGGGTTCAATTCCCAGCGCTACCAGATTTTCTTATACGTAGCGAGTATGGAACGGAGTGCACTGGGCCTCTTGAAGATAATTGAGGAGCTATTTCAAGGAAATAGCGGGTCCGGTTTAGAAAACCGAAATTAACGGTCATAGGGATCGTTGCCCTGATCACGCGACACCCTCTATCCTCTAAAGTTAGCACTAACTTCGCCGTCAAGCGGCGATAGCTCGGTCGGTATAGTTCTCTTGCGGACTAAACCCACGGAGTTTGTTTTGTTTGATAAACACTATACAACTTCCACTGCTGTTATCTTGTGCCCCTATCCTCAACTACTCGTGCTTTCTCACGTAAGGAGAGAATGCCAAGACTTGAATTTCTATATACACGTCTTCCGTAGCAGAAAACTTTCAAAATGATGAAAGTGACAAGAATGAAATAGTCATTTTGGATAATAAGTAATTTAGTTTACTCTAAATGTTTATTCCAGTCACTTAAAATATACAAAAGTCAAGACTCTCATTTCAAAATAAAGTCGAGCTGAAACTTCCCCAAATATATTCGATATATGCAAATTGCTGTATGATTGATGCATATGATTTATTTTCAAGTGGGCAGGTTACCCATTTATATGCTAATGTACATTAGCAATGCGTTGTATTCAAAATTAGACCGTATTGCATAAAATTAAGCTCTCGCTTGTATGTGTGGATGTGTTTACTTTATTTGCATTAAGATTGTGATCACTGATATGAAGCGGGGAATGTTTATGTCCATCAAAACATAATCACTCCTCTTGATTGAATTCGTGTCCGTGCCTATCAAGATTACTTGTTGTAGTTAAATATCTATAATTATCACAACAGTTTCTCTATAATTTCACTAAGAAATGTCCCATAAGCAGGTTCACATGAGTACGACTACCGGCCACAAGATGACGCAGCCGTCGGCCTACAGTCTTAGTATCGGCTAACTGAGAAGAGTTCAGTTTGTAGCTAAAAGAGAGACGCTCAACAAATAATAGCATATAGACTTGAAAGGATTCTGAAGATGGTGTATGCTGTACAGAACTATAAGGTTTATTTTACACTCTATATATATACTATATATAGACTCTGGTATATATAAGACAAAAATCCACAACGTTTCGGACACTGGATCTGTCTCCGTCCTCAGGTGGATGGGGCAAGATAGAAAACCGAAATCAACGGCCGTGGGGATTCGTTGCGCTGACCACGCCACACACTCTTTCCACAAAAGTTGGCACTAAACTTCGCCGACAAGCGGCCGTCGCTCGGTCGGTATAGTTCGCTTGCGGACTAAAATCACGGAGTTTGTTTTTGTTTATAACAAGAATGAAGGATTATAGCTATGGGATATGATGCCATGAATTCTCGTAGAGGCCTACCGAAGTACCTGAGGAACATCTGTGAGCTTTTACTAGATTACACGGCGTCACATACTAGAAGATGCTACTTTTCATAAACACCGCCTTGAGAACCTCAAATCTTAGATAGAAATCATTTCCTTTGAGTCCTCGCTATTGTGAAGTGTTCACAAAAGCAACGCCGCGCTAGATATTGACTTCTTCCCAACGACTTGTATCTGAAAGTGGTATCAGCATCCTTAGTCTTATTGTCTGATGCTCACTTAGACCTGTGCTGCACGCAGCGTACTGGCATATGGCACTGTATGTAAGCGTAGAAGGGCGGAGTGATTTATTGTCTTCACTGTGTCTAGTTTTTGTGTCCCATCGCCATGAACGGTGGAAGAATTCATGATACAAATAATAAGCAAGTCAGAGTATGGTTTTGCTTCATGATTTATTGTATCTCCTCAAACTAAGTGAGGTTATGTTTTCGTATATACATGCACTTTGTATCTGCACAGGTCACAGGAAGTTTTACCTCTTCCTGTAACAAATTTTGCTTTCAGCTCGGTTCATTCTGAACGTCACACACAAGTGGCTGGCATTACTCCTTAATATTCATATAATTTAACTTTGACATCTTCTGCAGTAAGCTAACTACTTGACCAAAACCGCTCCATAGCTCAAGCGGTTAGTCGCCGGCTTTCCACCGCGGTGGCCGGGGTTCGTCCTGGTCATGTGGGATTTGTGGTGGACAAAGTAGCACTGAGATAGATTTTATCCGAGTACTTCGGTTTCCCCTGCCGATCTTCATTCCACAAATTGCTCCACAATCACCCTCACCTATCATCTGGGGCTGACACAATAGACCAAAAGTGACCGCAGTACCAAGTGGAATTTTTTGTTGATAGTGGGGTAGAATTATGTATTTATTTATTGCTAGTGGGGTGGGACTAAGTCCCTTGTACTGAGGCCATTTCTGGCCTATTGTACCAGCCCCAGATGATAGGTGAGTGTGATTGTAGAGCAATTGGTGGAATGAAGATTGGCAGGGGAAACAGAAGTACTCGGAGAAAACCTGCCCCAGCGCAACTTTGTCCACCACCTTGATCCACGTCTCAGTCTAAATAATAAACGTACATAATTCCTTCATAAAGGAGCGTACGGTAAAAAATACGCAACGTTTTATAAATTACTTTCATTTTAAGGCTGGTGCCACACGAGCGCACAAAGTACATCCGTTGCAACGAACGTACTTTATGACTGACGTTGCTGAGGACACCACACATTTGCAGAATGCGGTGCGTTATTTTCTTGTCTGCAATGGAGCCAGAAGAAAGCGTAGCATTTGCCTCTCTTGTTTATTTCTACAACGGAAGTCACGACGTTCGTTCAACGGACGCATTTCGTGCGCTCGTGTGGCTCTAGCCTAAAATTATGACAGGATTAATTGTGTTGAATTGACATTCAAACTTAATGTTATTATACGAAAAATTTTCGTCTTTATAGTTCTGATCTTGCTATGTATTCCACTATTCTCGATTTATATTTAATTTCACAATGAATCAGTTCGGTGACGTACAATTTTCGAAAATCGATTGCATAAATAATAATATATCGATATTTCAAACAGCGTATGAGTTGTAACGTGGCTATATACGAGTATGTATCACTGTAACAAAATGACTATCCATGAAACACTGACAGCATCATATAAATACAATTAAGTTAAATGTAATTATGCGTGTCGGTGGTTCCGTCGTATTCACGTCTGACGCGGTTTGTCATAAACAAAGGGCCGTCACAGCTGCTACATATCCGAATAAACTTTACATCAAATATATCATAACCTATTTTTCATACAGCCATAAATATCTAAACTCATACAGTCTTTTCTGAATATATATCTTGTTTATTTATCTGTAATTAATTTAACGACACTTCCAGTAACTAAAATACAGTCTTGACAAAGCTGTAATGCTGTAGACTCATGTTCAGAATATGCTTGGTCAGAATAGCCCATTTGAATGTTCTTTACCTTATCTCTCCATGAGAAATTAAATTTTCACTGTAATACGTAATTATGGAGATTACTGTTGTCTGGGATGTTATGCTTCTTTTTTTTCTTGGCACTACAGCCCCAGTGGGCCTAGGCCTACTTCCATGAACTTCTCCGTTCACTTCGGTTTTTCTAGATCTTACACATTCGGTAAGACTCCTTGGGCGGGTGATCAGCTCGTCGCAAGGCCTCTACCTGTACACAAACACAGTAAAATATGGCCATGAGTCTCGATGGACTAGGACTCGAGAATCACTGGACTGGCGAGGACCAGCAGCAGTTGTAAAGGACAGACCCGTCTTCTAGTCAGAGAGGACGCCCCATATCAACAAATCCTGAACTGTCTTATTAACAAAAATCTGGTCTTGAGGTCCCAGATGGGTGCTTGACACCAAGATAGACTGGCCGACTGAGCGTCGGTCGTAATATAACTTATTTTGAATCGGATTTTGACTTGTAACACTCATATAGCCCTCCTCGTGAACAATTTTGTTCTGTGACATAACCCTTCCGTCGTTGGTATGAAGATTAATTCCGATCTTACTATTATGTTTTTTATTGCTAGTGGGGTGGGACTAAGTCCCTTGTACTGCAGCCACTTCTGGCCTATTGTACCAGCCCCAGATGATAGGTGAGGTTGATTGTGGAGCAATTGGTGGAATGAAGATTGGCAGGGGAAACCGAAGTACTTGGAGAAAACCTACCCCAGCACCACTTTGTCCACCAGAAACCACACTTGACCAGACCCGAGATCGAACCCGGACCGACGCGGTGGGAAGCCAGCGACTAACCGCTTGAGCTATGGCGTGGCCTCCGATCTTAGTAAGCTCAGCTCAGCTTCTTTCCTCTGCTCATGACGGTGACCACATTCTGAAACTTTACCTTTTCGCTTCCTAGGGCTTTACCCTATCTCAAATTTGTCTTTACTAGAAGTACGAACTCGCAGTACCTGAGAACTTTCAAAATCGGAGAAATAGATACGTCTTGCCCCCCTCCAAGTGTAGTGTCTTTCAGTGCCCCCCCCCCACTTTCTCTGTTTGTGAGTTTCAGACTCCAAAGAAGTGAACAGAGACCCGACCTTGAGGTATTAGTGTTTTAATATGGTGAGTGTTCGTGTGTTCCAGCTTCACGGCCTGCGGAGATTAATGCAAGGGGATGGTAAACACCCGAAGGCGCCTCTCGGAAACAACTTCCGGCCTCCACAACCCCTGCACCTCAGACCGGTTCGCACGAACATCGACTTCAATGTTAAGCAGGTGCGTCAGTCTATCAGTGACGTGGAAGGTTACGTCACCATTACAAAGTTACTAGATGCTATTTTCAACATATTTCCTATATTCGCCCATCATTATGATATTAACATTTCTTATGCAATCTCCATACTCTCTGTGTATCTGTGATTCCCGTCTTTTAACTTTTGAATATCTCAACCAAATTTTATGGAACTTGGTATGTATGTCATGGCAACTGAGCCCATCTCAGCGGCCTTATTATGAATTCGTCCTATCAGTCTGTGTGTCTGTATGTGTATCCCTCCTATCGGTGCTAGGCAAAGGCTTCGTAAAATGTATTGCTTTCGTTGCTAGGCAACGGCTCGGTAAACATGTTTCCGCGGCAAAGAATGCAAGCAATAATAGAAGAATTGTTGGACTCGTGTGTCTATGGGTCTCTCTGTGTGTGTCCTTATCGTTACTGGGTAAGAACTCGATAAAGACTTTCCGCGGCCGCAAAAATAATTGTTGGATATATCGTTTTCAATGTGGCCCGTGTCGTATCAAAAGAAACTATGCTATTAGTTCTTCGCAGAACTTATTTTTTTAAGTTGTATGGAGACGCTTTCAGTATGAGAATGTAAATGTACGTACATAGGGCTTTTCTGGAGTAAGGTTGAGTTCACAGTCTACACACTATATCAAAATATAGCGATGGGTCCCAGCGGGGCGCGATGCCAGGAGTGACTTGCCGGCAGTAGGCTTCAGCCTGAAGAGAAGTCCAGTAAAACGTTCCTTCTTTGTAACTAAGGTGTAGTTAAGGGCCGCGCCATAGCTCAAGCCGTTAGTCGCTGGCTTCCCACCGCGGCGGCCCGAGTTCGATCCCGGGTCTAGTCAAGTGGGATTTGTGGTGGACAAAGTGGCGCTGGGGCAGGTTTTCTCAGAGTACTTCGGTTCCCCTACCAATCTTCACTCCACCAATTGCTCCACAATCACCCTCACATATCATCTTGGGCTGGTACAATAGGCCAGAAGTGGCCGCAGTACAAGGGACTTAGTCCCACCCCACTAGAAATAAAAAGAATAAAAAAAAAAGGTGTAGTTAGCAGAAACAGGTTCTCTTGTGTTAGGTAACTACACCACTTATAGAGATGTTATGAAACTAAATGAATACGCTCTTCTGGTTGAACAATTTGCTGGAGGAAATGAATATTCGTTTAGGCTCTAAACACGAGTATTGAAAAGCGAATAGCCAACAGTTTATGCGTATCACTTTTATAGTGAAGTCTCCACTCCCTCTCTACCTACCCCTCCTGTTTTATGCTGTGTTATTGAATTCATCTGTAATAAATCTGATTCCATTATAATGTTCAGCCAATATTGAGTTTTGTGACTATGACATAGTGCATCAGCCACTGCTGTGCTGTGTCACTCCATAGGCCTTGGATTTGATGGAGTGACCGGAAGGAAAGTAGGCTTGATGGTGACCTGGTGACAGAAGAATCTCATTTTCACATTACAGCAGTTCGTTTAATATTATGACTTAATTCAATGAAAGGTCGCGCCATAACTCAAGCGGTTAGTCGCTGGATTCCCACCGCGGCGGTCAGGGTTCCATCCCGGGCCTGGTGAAGTGGGATTTGTGGTGGACAAAGTGGTGCTGGGGCTGGTTTTCTCCGAGTACTTCGGTTTTCCTTGCCAATTTTCATTCCACCATAATCTCCATCATCATAATCACTCTGGGAAGGTACAATAGGCCAATCAGTGGCCGCTGTGCCGGCCGTGACGTGCCCCTTCAAATCTGCACATCAGAGATGTTAGTGGCATCCTTACGCAACGGTATGAGCCTCACAGCGTCTCCGCACGGCTCTTAAAAGACATGTACAAGCACACACTGTAAATTGTTTTACTCGAACTACGATTAATATTTAGACAAAATTTTTGTACGGATTAGATCGTTATTGTGGTCATTGGATTTTTTCAATTGACCTAATCCTTCCAGCCGCACTATGGCCCTGGGGTCGACTCAGTCTCTAACAGAAATGAGTACCAGGAATGTTCTTGGGGGTAAAGTGCGGCCGGCGAGTAAGGCTGACATCCTTACCGCCATCTGTGAGCGACTGTCTAGAGCAGTGCTGTCCAACGTTCTTATGTACTCGGGCACAATTCACTGATGCCTATGGAGGTGCGGGCGCCACCATACACTACTACTACTACTACTACTACTACTACTACTA